TTTCGGGGAGGTCTTATTTTGGGGGGATGCCTTCTATTTCAGCGAGAGGCAAAACTGTACGTAGGTCATATTTTCAGGGGATGTCTTACTTTTGGTGAAACAGGGTAGTTAACAATCAACCCCATAATGCTTATTATGTTAAATGTTGGAGGTGCATGTACACACATAAAATAAAAAACGTGCTACTCAGAGACACGCATCAAAGCCTCGTTATTATTACTGTGTTATGTTAAAGATGTTTTAGTGTATCTGTTTCTTTAATTTTTTGTTATGCATAAACTTGTGTCAACTCACTGCCATGGAGTTCATTCCGACCCATAATGACCCTCTAGGATTTTATAGGACAGAGTTAGACAACCCCTATGGGTTTCCAAGACTGTAATGTAGAAAGGATGGTCTTTTCCCCAAGGAGATGGTTTCGAACCGCTAACCATGTGGTTATCAGCTCAGCCTGTCACCCGGTAGGCCACCAGGACTCCTTATTATACATAGAAAGATGCACTACATAGTAGTTAGGCAAACAATTGACTGGCATTCGCTAAAAACCATCCCTAGCTGTTCCCACTTATATACAAATTCAATTTAAAAGCCGATTTAGGGATAGAACTTGTTCATAATCCGAGCCCCACCTATAAATGAGGGAGACTTTACCAATCCTCACTATGGAGTTCCTTACTCTGTCTGCGGACAGTTCTCTCAAAGGCCACCAGCAACCTCCCAGCTGACAGAAACCAAAAACCTCATCCGTCTCTCCACTATTCAGCCTCTTTCCTCCTTTGGTTGAGTCATTGTGTAAAGTCAATTATCACATGAAAGTACTTGTCCACTGTGTGAGTCTGGGTACTTTAGAGAAACAAATCCACAGAAACTCATGTATAAGTTTTATATAAAGGGTAAGTGCGCATCAAGAAAACATCCCAACCCAGTGCTGCCCAAGCCCACAAGTCCAACATTAACCCATATGTCCAACACCAATCCACAAAGTCCTCCTCCATCTCACAAAACAGACTCAATAATGCCGACTGCAGGAGGAAAACCAAGTCAGTGAATGTGTAAGCATCTCAGCGCTGGCAGGGGTCTCCACATGCCTGCTCCAGCACCCAGGGGGGCATTGGGGTGGGTCCATGCGGCTTCTCCTCAGGGATGTCTTGCAGGAAGTGAGCCTTGCCAGCTGAAGCAGGGAACTGGCTAAGGCAGCTGCACCCTGGTCCGACCATCAGAAAGCAAGAGACCCGAGAACTAGAAAGGTGAGGCTCACCGAGTCATTATCCCTCCGTCCTTTGATTAATCCCACTTGTGTTTATCAGCCAGGTTGGCACAATAAACTAACTCATCCACTAATAACCTCTCTCTCTCTCTCTCCCCTCATTGTGGTAAATGTATGTAAAACAAAACATTTATCTATTCAACACTTTCACATATACAAGAAGCCTTCAAAAAGTTAGTGGAAATTTTCCATCATCTTTTAATAATTCCATTTTCTACACAATTTTTAAAGCCACCCCACCCCGTGCAATTCAATGACATTAATTACATTCTGCTGAATGTGGTGTTCAACCATCTCCACCATCTGTTTCCAATTCCTTCTAGCCTTCTTCACAGAAGCTCAGTGTCCAACAAACAAGTTCCCCTCTCGCCTAACCTCCTACCCACCTTTGGTAACCACTAAAAAAGTCTGTGTCCACACCCTTGCCTTTTCTAGACACTTCACATAAATGAAAAACGGAAATCAAATTCCCTGCCACCAACTCAGTTCTGACTCGTAGTGACCCTATAAGGCTGGGTAGAACTGTCCCTAGGAGTTTCTGAGACTTGTAACTCTCCTTTTTAAAAAAAATCATTTTAGTGGGAGCTTTTACAGCTCTTATCACAATCCATACATCCAATCCATTGTATCAGGCATATTTTTACATATGTTCCCATCATCATTTTCTTTCTACTTGGGCCTGTGGTATCAGCTCATTTTACCCCCTCTGCTCCCCTCCCTCCCAAGACTGTAAGTCTTTATGGGAGTGGAAAGCCCCAAGGTTCTCCTTCTGAGAGACTAGTGGTTTCAAATCACTGATCCTGTGGTTAGCAGCCCAACACATAACTCCATTTTTCCTTCTGTAACTAACTTACTTCATTCAGCATATTTCCACGGTTCATTCATGTTGTAGTATTTGTCGCGAATGGGTTGCTTTTCATGGCTGTGTGATATGCAGCAGTCTATGGGTCATATTTTGTTTATCGATTCATCTGTTGATGAACATTTAGATTATTTCCACCTTTTGACTATGGCGAACAGGGCTGCAGTGAACATTGGTGTACATGTGTCTGTCTACATGTTTGCTTTCAATTCTTTGGGAGTACATATGTGGTAAGGAGCCCTGGTGGTATACCGGTTATGTGTTGGGCTGTGATCCACATGGTGGGCAGTTCAAAACCACCAGTAGCTCCTCAGGAAAAAAGACTAAGCTTTCTATTCCTGTATACAATTACAGTCTCGGAAACCCACAGGGAGGTCACTGTGAGTCAACATTTTGAGGAATGGCCAAGCTCTTCCACAGTAGTTGCACTATTTTACCTGTCCAATCCCACCAGCAATGGACAATTTTTCAATTTCTCCAATCTTCATCAACACCTGGCATTTCCATTTTTTAAAATTAGGGCCATCTTAGTGGTTGTGAAATGAAATCTCACTGTGGCTTTTAGTTGCATTTTCCTGATAATTGAGCATCGTTCCCTGTATTTCCTCTTTGAGTAAATACCTAGTCAGGTCCTTTGTCCATTTTTGATTCATCTCTTCTTTCCCTTATTCCAGGGGTGGGGAATGCCCAACACTAGCGCCATATAAGGCCGGCAAAATCATCAATACCAGCTAATCAATACCCAAATCATCACACACCACCAACGAGAAGCAGTTCTGGTCCTCACATTAGGGATGAGTTAATTAAATGTTGAACCAAAGATAGCAGGCTAATTTTTAAGTTGATAATTTTGTATGACCCTTGAATGATATTCTAAGTATCCAAATGACCCTTGAGAGGAAAAAACTTCATCACCCTGTGAGTTAGTTAATTGTGCCAACCTGGCCGATAATCACATGTGGGGCTAATTGAAAGGCGGAGGGATAAATGGGTGGTGAGCCTCGCCTTTCTAGTTC